GGAGTTGGTGACATGGATGTGACTCTTGGACCCCTAGGTGACCCGGTGTGACAGTCAGGTCATGTCTGATTGCGTGCAAAAGGACACGTACCATGAGCCATCCACAATTCAAACAGACATCAGACACATCCACACCTCACCATGCCAACTTCAAAACCGCACACCTCACCAACTTCAAAACAACACACCTCACCAATTTCAAAACAACACACCTCAAGAAATTCAAAACAACACACCTCACCAACTTCAAAAAAACACACCTCATGAACTTCAAAACAACACACCTCACCAAAAATTTACACATTGCACCAACATTGATTCAAAAACAACAAAATTGAATCATTGAACAGCTCAACTTCAGACTATAAATCTACATATTTTACAATCTCAACTAAGCAAATCTTACCCATTTCAAAATTACACAAACATAGATTTTATAATCTTTGAATACACACCTCAAAAATTTAAATACACCCCATCAATTTAAAGACATCCTTTCAATGTCAACACAACTCACCAGTTTCAAAAAACAAGACTATGCAAACATGTATTTTACCATTTTTGCCATCTTTGACTACATGTCTTACCATTAACATCAATAATCAGACAGCCCATCACCTTCAACACCGTACATACAGAAAAAACTGAACACTTCAAGGAGACAGACATGCAGAAACATATAGCTTTCATGGAGTGGCCTAAAATTACCCACACCTCCTGATGAAAGCTGTTTGCAAACTAAAATAATTAGCTGATGTAATATTTGATTAGAAGCCAAACTCAGAAATAAAAAACCCAGCTGTGTTCCCACATCAAACATTTGGTCTATGGCTCCACCAATCAAACAATTACATGTGGATCCACATACAAAATCTAAATTGTGGCTGAATGCATTAGGATATGGAAAAACCTTAAGAAACTGCCCTTGAAATACAGAAACTCTTGTGAAAGTTGGGTTGCTACTCATCTGTTACTCAACCATTAATTCAGCCATACTACAATGCAAATCTACTGTGCAGAATTCTTTTGCATTGGAAATGATTTCAAAATGACACAAATTATGTTGGGAGTAACCTGCATGTCAAATGCTACCATTTTGGTAAGAAGATGGCAAGAAAATTTGAAAAAGTTTAAAAATGATTGCACCCTAAGGGCCTGTACCATAGCACCTCAGCCAATTTCCATTTCCATTTTTTATCTTTTTATTTTTCACTAACCAAAATTCATTTTGGGGTTGGCACTGAAAATCTGTCTTCTGCACTGTGCAAAATTGGGTGTGCATGGTATATGGTCACCATTTCTGGCAGAGTCAGTTTCAAACCTGGAAATTGGGAATTCACCTGAAAATTGGGGCTGTGGCACAGTCCCTAAATATATAAGCAGAAGTTCTGTAAAATTTCAAGTCCTCACAGATTTTGATCAAGAACTAAAGCGTTCATATTTTTTCAGAAAAAATCTGGCCCTCAAGGCCCTAGATGAAATGATAAATCTGTAGGGTCCTCAGATTTTGATAGTAATTCCTACATTTGGAGGTCTGCACATCAAATCTGTGTCCCTTGCCAATGTTGATCTAGGGCCAAAAATTATAGATGCATGTGAGGGATAACGGCCTTCAAGGCCTAATTCAACTCTACAGGGTCTACAGATTGTGTGATTCTTGATGATGGCCCTTTAATATTATCATATAATGAAAAAAATGTACAATTTCCAGTGAATCAAAAAATAAGTTCCCCAGGAAATTCAAGTGAACTTCATATTATATTATGAGTGAATTGATTTTCTACTTCAGTGAAAAACAAAGTCAACTCATTTTCTGACTTTGTGAATTTAATGAGAATTTTGGTTTCCATCCAAAATATTTTTTGAGCAACTTTGAATGAAATATTGGTGAATTGCAGTCACTGGCAGTCCAGTGCCCTGGAATTTCCCCTGGTGGAAGCATGGCCACCATTTTTTTTTTTTTTTTTTAAGTGCAGATTTGGTTTAACATTGCGTACTATGCATATTCATCTGAATGACAAAGACAGTTGTGGATCTACAACCGTGCATATGTAACTAGAATCCACCATTATACCCAACTGGTCGAGCTTCAAAGACATGATCGAATTGCTCGGACTTCATGAGCAATCCGAATTGATCCCGTTATTATTGAGCTGGATGAAAACGATCGGCGTCAAACCGAACCAAGATCTATTGATCAGAGCGTATAACTATTGGATCTATAAATCTTCTGCTATCACTCACCGGCTCGCCGGGCTCGACGAATTTGTTAAGAATTGGATCTGTGAAATCGAAAGCTATGCCATCCACAATGATGAGGAGGAGAGCGGGGAAGAGGAAGAGGGTGAAGACTTGGTCAAGCACCAGCAGGGCGATGATGGTGATACTGGTACTGACCGCTATGTGAATCGGCATCCCGAGAAGAATCGAACGAAAAAATTGGTCATTCCAACCGAAGAGATGCTCCAAAGCCCTCATGTGGAAGCTGTCAAATGGTCGAATAGGTTTTACTTCTCCTCAAATGTTTTTTTTTTGCAATTGCTTCGATTTGCGCTTTGTATTTTCTTGTGGAATCTTTGTAGCGGAAAAATATGACTTGTTCGGCTTTATTCCGCTCCACTGTTCACAAATAAGGGTTTCTGATGTTGAGGATCTCTTTCAGGCTATGTACTGGACAACTGATCGGAGCTGAACTGGTTGGATACGAGCACACCTTTTCCATCCATGCCCCTATGTCAACACAGCTCTTGCCACTACTTAGAGATCCATGGAATCAGATTCAAACTTGAAACCCTACTTAAACAGTGTTAAGACTTTCTTATTCTCAGATTGGTTTGAATCGTGTATGACAGCGACCATGAGAGCATCTTACTCGGGGTACCTCTGACATCAACCTTAGGGCCAATGCGTGCGCAAAAACAATGTAGATGTATCAAGGCTGCATTTCAACATCCTACTAGGCGTTTCCAGAGAGGAACTAAAGTACAAGGGATAAACCAAGGGGAGGAGAAAGGAGGAGTGTTTGTATGCCCTAAATGTTGGCCCGACAAGAAGTAGAATGAGCTCCAAGCCGGTTCCTAAAGTGCAAGTTTACTCTCGCGAGCGATAGTCAAAGATTTTATGAATCCTCAACCTTGGCACCATTATTCCTTGACCCCTAGAAAAGGCGTATTTAGAACGTGGCGTGGCTGCTCGCTGAACTTTTTGATGAGGAAAAGAGGAAAACCTTCCGGCGACGAAGGCTTGCTATAAATAGTAAGATTTGGGAGGGGCCTGCTTGTGGTTGGTTATCCGCAGCCCTCAGCTCATTACAATTTGCGGAGCCCGCGGCTTCGAGCTTTGGCGCCTCCCCCGTCGGGGGACTCGCTTGAGCTCACCGTGGCTTGTATTCTTCCGCCCCGCGCTCCGGGTCGGGTGGCGGTCCGGTCTGCCGACGCGTAAACAGTGTCATTGACAAGGTTCATTAAGCAACCAAGAGTATGATGTGACTTTCCTCACACGAAATCATAGCGAGATTCTTATACCTAGTGATGAGACATGTGGATATGTGGACACCAGTAATGCTAGTGTTCGAAATCGGGTTACAAAGGAATGAGACAGAATGAGACCCAATTGTAGCGCCCAAGGGACAGGACTTGACTAGCAGGAGGTTTTCAATAGAAGTGGTAGAATCTCATTTTCCTTGGCAGTGCAAACATAAGTGGAGCTGAATTGAAGAAGAGCAAAAGTGGGAAGTGCAACGACATACAAACCCGCCAAATTGTATATTTATTTCAGTCAAATCCTTCATCGATGTTCACGAACAACAGCTACGCAGTCGATCAAAACAAATTGATGGAAAGCATTATATACAGCAATGAAGAAAAAAGCATATACATCAATGAGAAGAATTATATACATCAAAGAAAATAACAATATACATTCAAGTGAAATAATATGATGGGGGAAACGGTTGTGTGATTGCGTCCGTCAAGGTTGAACGAAACGAGGAATTGATTTTTGATGATCGAGAGCAAGAATAAACAATATATTTAACAGTTGAAAGAAAAAATACAAACCAATGAATGAATGGACAAATGGCTAAGGGTGATTCTCAGGAATAGGGTTAGGAAAGAGGATACGATAATCATCGAAGCTGGGGAAGGTGCTCTCTGAGTTTTGATCGAAGGAAGATGTGATTTGGTCACCCTCACCGATCTCCGATTGCGGCTGTGTTTGAAACTGGTGTGGCTCATTCAGTTTGACTAGCCGGACTTCCTCCTGGACGCGCTCCTCCATTTCGCCATCTTCCAATGTAATCCCAGACAGCCTGGCTTCCATCAAAACCTTCGCGACTGCTTCGCAGCGAATTTCCTCATCGCGCTCCCGTAGAAGATCAGCATGACTTTTTCCGTGGAATGCACCGAAGTTTGTTGACTCTGCTGAGAAATCGCCGCAATCTGATGCATCCAAACCTTTCGCGTTTTTACGGGAAACGCCTTTCTTTCGGGCGGCAGAAGAGGTAGCCAAACGACCTTGGTTCTTCTTTGCAGCGTTATCCTTGCGGTAAATCGGCTTGTATCGATAGTCAGGATGAAGTTTTCGATGAAGGTCTTTCTCCTCCTCAGCCTTGCGCTCCCATTTCAATCTTTCATCAGCCGGTAAGGATTTCCACATATGACTAACAATTCGACTGATTTGACGATGATCCTTCTCAACTGCGGGCGGTATGAGGTTCGAGGAGCACGCGTAAGACCGAAACAGGATGAAAGCATTCCGTGGGCGTTTGACATGACCAGGCGGCGTCTTCCTAGCGTGCGAGGGTCTTCCGGTCGAAGTCAGGGGACGTGAGTAACGCCCGGTGATTGTACCGTCCGGTCCTTGCTCGATGACTTGATTAATGAAAGGTGAAATAATCTGACTTGTTTCACTGTTGGCAAAGCCTGCTCAAATCACAACGGGCAATATGCCATCAGTGGATGACAAAAGCTTTCAATAACACGATTTATCTTCATGAGAAAGGACTCACCGAGTTCAGTCTGTAATTTTATCAGTGGGGGCTGAAGCGCACTAGGATCAATCGCTGAGCAAAAATCGTACGGCGGGCCAGAAATGGTGCTGGTCGTTGACGACGTTCCGGACAGATCACGATGATGTCGAGAGCCTCTGCGACCGCCAGGCATACCATCTGAATGGCCTCTTATGTGAGAACGGGCAATCGGCACACCAAAGTCTTTAGGGTATGTGAAAGGCATATGATCACCGTAGAGATTGTGAGATGACATAGGAAACGCAGCAAAAGCCCCAGGTGAGCTGTCGGGGGATGAGGATGGGATCTGGGTGGGAGACGAGTGGAAACTGAGTTCTTCAGGGTATAGAAAAGGCAAGTGATCACCGTAAATATGAGATGAAAAGGGAAAAGCAGTGAAGGCCTCTGGTGAGCTGTTGGGAGATGCGGATAGTATCTCAGCGGATGAGGAGGGGAACATTGCTCTTTCATTCTGAAAATCGAGGGAAGTCTTCAGGTGTGACTCGAAGCTAGATTCTGGTCTTGAGATCTCGAAGTTTGCGGTAGAGAAATCCAAAAAATGAAAGGCGTTTCCGTGAGAGGTAGGAGGCTCCATGGCCAATGTTGGCCCGCTCATAGCTTGAAAAGGGGACTTTTGTTATTGTGGAGTAAGAGCAACATACGAGTCAGCTCATGAGTTTGTTCGCATCCTAGTGGGTTTTCCTGTGCAATTTTCGAACAAAACAAAGCACAATATTGAAGAGCAGTAATTTAGACTCACGGTCAAATCGGGGGGAAATACGCTAGTGTGCCCTTCGCCAAATACCTCTGAAGGGAACGTATCCGCTATTGATGGATAGAATTCAACGGGGCTCGCTTTGTGCTCGTCAGTAGTCTGGTCTACGTTGTCGTGAAAGTCGTGGCTAGGAGCCTCTTCCTCTGGAGAAGAATCTTGCGAAGAAGCTTTAATGGAGCGTAAAATTTCGTCGAAAGGGTCAGCGCTTTCTTCTTGAAAATCCATCGTAATCTAGGCTCTACAAATAAAAGAAGATATTGATTGGACTAGTTTTGCGTTTATGGGCGGAAGTCTTTCTTATTCAAGTCCAAACTGCATAAATAACAAAGGTGTTCGGGAAAGGGGAATAAGATAAACAAAGCTCAAGGCTTTGGTAACGAAAGAGATAAAAGAAGCAGCTGATGGTTCTGATCCGGGAAAAGGTGTGTTAAGATCCACCTCCCACGATTCTTTTCATCCAATTAGGGAAATTGAAATCATGAGGCTAAGCTAAATAAAAAGACAAGACCAATTAGACAAGAAGTAGTGACAGAGATGTACGTTGAATAAACCGTCCAAATGATCAATGCAAGTTTTTTAATCGGTTATGAATTATAGCAAAAGGGTAAGCGGGTTAAACTGCTCGAAATTGTGATCAAAACAATTATTGAAGGGGAGGTAGATGGGGGAAAGAAGACTGCAGAAGGAAGAAGCTTAATAACGGCCTTGCGATCGTCTCCGGGTCAAAGGGGGGAGGGGGGGAGGCCTCTAACGGACAAGTCAAGGATCGGTAAAAAAACAAACAAAGCCAAAAAGAACCGACCCAATGATAGTCCTCCGGTCGACCTTGGTCCGTGTGTCTGAACGACAAATGTGGGCACCCAAACGCCACAATAGAAACTAGAGAAGATGGCAGGTTCTAGGTCGTAGGTGGGGTTAAATTCGCTGCTGGAAATCGGTAAACCTTAACTTTGTGTAAGGTGTGTTTAGTTCTTTAGTGACAAAGGCTTTTGAGTAGGGGCTCGCAATGTTTGCTTCTTTTGGGCGGTTGATGAGGTAAAAAAATCCCACTGGCAAAAATGCACAAGTCCGAGTGGTAGTGTGGTGCCACTGGGTAGGAAGACAAAGAGAACATGTAAGTTGAAGGGCAAGGATTGAATAAGTAACCTTTCTGGTAAAACAGCTGTTGTGTCGTTGAAAGGCGACTCCAAGACCAACAAAACCAGCCGCAAACTGCCATGCGGCACAAGGAACTTACATTTTTACATATAACGTATTCTCCCCTCGGTGAAGAATTGAATGGATTGATGCAGGCTGGAAAAAAAAATGTTGACCAGCACAGAGTCGCAATGCGAAAAACGGAGAAGAAGGATCAAGGCAGTTGTCCGCGTGGTGCGAGAGACGCTGGGGGCTTTACCTGAATCTGGAAGACAAACAAATAAGCCAATGTGCCAAAAAAAACGACTCAATACCTACAATGCTATTGCTATTCACTCTGTAAGTGCTGAGAGTTTGGTCCAAAGATAAACCAAACGGAGAGGTGTTTCTAGAACTGGTACTCGACAACCTCAGAAGATTGTGTTGTTGGCTGGTGATCAGTTGAACGGGAGTGACGCGGCTATAGCCTTGGGAGACTTTACCCGATTGAAGAGCAAAACCCGGCTTAATCAATGTAGACAAGGAAATTTGTAGAGAGAAAAATCGGAAGGAAGGTCAAGCAGATGGATTGGGCTAAGGTTGATAGGGATTTGGGATTTTGTGGGTCTAGTTCATAGCAGGGATATCACTGATACAAACTGCTATCAAGAAGTGTTGGTAGTACAAGTAGGTGATAATCAGAGATAGCGAATTTATATCCCTGATCCAAATGCCTGGAGCCTCTCTAATTGCTGACCCGGGCAGCGACACCTTGGTGGCGATGAGTGAGAGAAGTGCCGGGCATCCGAATTTAGGGGCGTACAAGTAATTCGGAAACGGACTCCATCTTTGATGGGTATCGCACTTGCTGGCCAACGAATCATAGCATCTATCTGGGTCAAGTCACGCTTGCCATGGAAGCTACCTCGCCCCGAGTTGATCAGAAGTACGGTCGTCTGACCAAGTCCTCCAACAGGTTGCTGCTTACAGTTCCAACAGGTTGCTGCTTAGTCTTCCGAAGTTGCCGTCACTCTCGCAGAGCTCATTCGGCAATCAGCCAGGATGGAGAAGCATTTAGAATTCGAAAGTAATTCATATGTAAGCTAGTACCCTTTCCAGCAACCCGACTTATCGTTTGCTCTCCCGTACGAACGGGTCTACTCCATATGCCTCACTTGGAATCCAATCTTGTTGCCAGTTACAACCGGGCAAAGGAAAGTTCTATGTAAGCCCACCGACTCCAGGCTCAATGTGTCGATTATCATATCCAGTCGCAATTTGGCACATCTAATGGATACACTACGTCTCACATGTGATCTATAACATATGTGTCGATGTAGGATACAAATACAATAATGCGGCCCTAGTAATTATGCTGGTTTATCGATCTTGACAGCGGCCAACGCCCTGATCTCGGGGCGATATCACTGGTGAATTGGATGCATAAATACTACTTTTATAGGCTTTGGATGCTATGATTTGGGGTTCGTTCCTGTTTGTCAATCCTATTTCCGCCTTTTAAGTGCCACAAAACCAACACAAAAGTGGTACTGAGTGAAAACTGGTGGAAGGATAACGTACAAATTCTACATTATGGCCGGTCCCAGACAGAGGCATGTTATGACCAGTGACGCTAACCTATACCTGATTTATGGACCTAGACTGCGAGCATCATGATCAATCTATGATAACTTGTTATATTAAATTGGGCTAGTTTGTGCCTTGCTTAGTTGAACACTCCATCCCCTCCCCTTCTTGATTTGACCACCCAAATTACACCTAAGAACACTTGTTGATGACCTCCACGATCCGCAACTTCAAGGTTCGAAGCCCAACTGCACTGATCTACATTAATTAAAAGAAGAACGAAACACGATCTATGATCAATAAAGCAAAGTGGGTAGGGCCCCAGGGTTATTTCTCAAAGTCAGAGCAACACATCAAAACCAAAAGGAAGCAAATTTTGAAGATGCACTCAGTTCAGCGATTCGTCAGGAATTGCATAGGCAGTTTGTCTGCAATCATGACGAATTGTTGAAACTCTTGCAAAACCGGCATCTCCGCCTAACCATCTTAAATCCTCTCTTGCCGGCATCGGCATTTGGATCAACAGTCCAAAACTGCCAAGAATACCTGGTAGTAGTAATCACATCAACACGCACACACACGTTGCTGCACATACATGCCGCCGATGCTATTACAAGTGCTACATTTTGATGGAGATACCCTGGTTCCTCTGGCGGCAAAAATGTGTGATTTCTTGCCTTATTTTACTTGGTACAGTAATGCATAGTTAATGGTGTGTCGGGTCCCACGCTGTACCCAGCATCTTGGCTAGCGCTTGGAGGAGGAATTGTTGAGCAAGCAGTTCCTTCCGCCTCCAAATGGATTTCCAAAGGAAGGGCTATGTGTGCATCCAGGTGGTAGCCTGTAAAACAACTCCGCTTATTCTAGCGTACCCAAGGTTCCATCAGCGAACTCATCTAAATCACGCATTTTCCAAGTACAAACGTGAACCCTTGACTGGCAGCCTGGGTACGTCATAGATTAACGCACCAAGGAAGAAACAGGGGTATTTCTAGCGATAGCCCATGGGTGGACTGTTTGGAAAATCGTGTTCAATTCATGAATTGGGGAAACCGTGATGCATTTCAAAATATGTGATTTTTGAGAAATCAGTTAAGCCTAAGGCATATTGATAAATTAAATGAGATGTGTCAGTTAGTCTGAAGGTCAATTAGACATCAGCGAAGAGCCCAAGATTTGAGTAAACCTGGGTTTGTGTCAGGAATTTTCTGTCAACAATTGTGTTTAGTAATTCTCAGAATTGAACTCAGATAAATTTAATATTTCCTATGTGGAAGTAGGCATGTAAAAGTCTCAAGAGGAAGTTGCCACTAGTAAAATCCTGTGCATTCCTGAAGCCATTTGAAGGAAGCTGAACACTTCATAGTTTAAAATAAATGTAAGCTTGCCTTTTTTCACCTTGCTGAACTGTAATCAGGTCCAGGGCAGTTGACATTCAGGCCTAAATCACATTGTTGTAGCTCAAATTAAAACCAAAATGATTGTTTTATCACAACCCCTGTGCAATGCATAGTGACTATGCATTGAAGTTTGGTTCAAATAAACTTGGAGTGGCATTTGAGTTACAAGACAAGTGTTAGCAGAGTTTTTGGGGATTCCAGTGGAGGAATTTTGTGAGCAAAATTAGACTGGAGGATTTTGTGTGCTCAGAGTTGAGGTATTATTCTTGAAAAGAAATGAGCAAGGTGCCTTGAAATGTTAAGGCAAGGAACATGAAAGATAAGATAACTCAACCAGCTTTTCATCAGGGGACTGATTACTTGAACCACCAAATACTGCTGTATTGAATGCTTATTTGGTTTGATCAGTAAAAAACAATTCAGAATGTTGCGCTTGGAATCTGCTCTTGTCATTCAAGCAAATTGAACCACTCCAGCTATCTAGTAATAGTATTATCCAATCCAATTTCTTGGCAGCTTTTCCAATTTATTGTTGATACTTGGAATAACGAAGCTTGTGTTTGACAAGAAGACGGCAGAGATGCCATGAAGTCATCAGCTCCTTTTTTGATTGCATAAATCATGGGATCATGAAGCTTTATTTACAGAGAAACTAGCAGATGATGTGGTCCGGGCCAGATGAAAATCTGGCTGACATTTGACTGAGAGTCAAGACCGGCTTGACCATGAAACCCGCAATGCTCTTGATCTTGTGTCCCTCTTGACTGGGGTTAGTAAACAATTTATAATCAGGAGCAGTTGGTTAAGATACAAGGATTACTAAACAGACATGAGAGCCGAATCACGGCCATATTTTGATTTAACATATGTAGATGAGGTTCAGTTAGAAATTTAAAAAAAAAAACACTTGATCGATCTACACTATGGAAAGTGAGGGCCCACTTCGAAATTATGTACCATATCCATGTCTTCCACAAATCCAAACTGCCTCAGCGGCCCTTCTCCTTCTTCATCATCATCCGAATCTGTGAATCCACACATTGCGTGAAAACAAGCTCCTCGATCTTTTAAGATCTGTTCAATCGTTTTTCGTGCTTCTCTGGGCCCTATAATATGTATCCAAAACAGATTTGTTTGTTAATTTTATGAAAGGTTGTTCACAAGAGTTATCAGTTTTCCAGATATAGCCTTTGGATCGATTTTTTGTGGGAAAGAAAATAGAAAAAAAAAGAATACTGACATGAGGTATCCTCCCGAATCGAGCAACATAATAAATTAGGCAACCATTTCCCAGGTGTATCCGAGCCAGCGGGCGGATCAGGCTTATAAGAGCTCGAGAGCATCTTGGCAAGTGCAGCAGATTGCAGGCCAGTTTTCTCACAATGAAGTTTGACGAGAGATTGGGGGAGAAGGGTCAGGAAATTTGAGCCGATGATAGTGCCTTCAACAGACAAGGTTTTGAGCTTCCTCAGGGGCGCATCTGAGGTCTTGAAGATGATGTCTATGAGGCCACAATTTGTCTCCGGGTCATCAGAAGTCTCCGAGCTCCTTCGGATCCGGTGCCATGCAGGTTCTACGCAGATTAGCAGGATCTCTAAGTCAGGGTTGGTGTCCTCTTTGAGGATTCGACACAAGCCGGATCGGTCGAGCCTCGAGCTGGGATAGATGATCTTCAGCGTCAACAAGCTCTTGAGCGAGCCTCTTAGGACTGAGGAGAGCTCGAACTCGTCTAAATCAGCGTATGTTAATATGATCGATCGGAGCGCATGATTGATTGCCGGGATAGCTTTTGGAATCGTCTCGGGCGTCTGGATTAGTGGGCCACAGAGTCCGGTAACATCGATCGTATGGAGGGAGTCCCACTTAGAGAATAACCGATCGACCAGCTCGTCGATTCGCCATTGGAAGACGGTGGGACGTGTACAGTGTTCGCCAGTGACGAATGCCTGGATCCTTCGGCAACTAGCAAGGGCTTTAAAGATCGGCTCTTGGCAGCGGTTGAAGAACCTAGCTCGGATGGTGATGTGTTCGATTTCTGGACAGGACCGGATGATGTCACAGAGCAGAAAGCCGCCCCCTCTTCCCATCGAGCGAGGGCCACCCCATTCGAAATCTACCACGCGAACATATTGCCCCAATCTGTTTGGACACGCGTTTCCAGACCGCTGTTCGATCTCCGTCCCGTTCTCTTGAGAGCTGTGCGCCTGATCGACTGGTGCTGATCCATCATCCAAAGATGGTCGACTTAGCGCCCGCAAGAATAAGTGCGCCTGCCATTCGGATGCTAATCCCACCTTCCTGAAGAGCATCTCCTGGGCACATCGTCGAAGGGGGCGGTTCACTAACGATAATGCTAAGAGCGGGTTACGGGGGAGACCTGCAGAAACATTCAAGTGATCAATATTTCTAAGCAATCTGTTAAATTGTCTTGTCTTGGAAACTGACTAACCGTCTGGCCATGATACTCTCGGCAGCTGTAATTTATTAAGAAGATTTCAGCCTGGGATGACACTTCTTCAGATAACATTTAAAATCGAAGGAGGGGCTCAACATTGGTTGGATTGGCGTGATGAAGCAAATTGGCGTCCGGATCCACATGATGATCCAATTGGGTGGCAACCGGACCAACTCTCGGTCTCCGTAATGCCGCCTCGACTCCGAAATGGTCGAGGCCAAAATGAGCGCCCCCTGGGTTTGAGTCCCGAGAATTGTGGGCCGATGGTTGCTGGAGTGTGAAGCCGACTATCTTGTGGATTAGCTCGGCTGGTAAGTCGTTGAAGCTGACCATGATCTTGTTGTCAACGGGTGGTGTTTTGGAAAAATTGGGTTCATCCAGACGGGGAAAGCTCAACTCCAAATATGCAGATTGTAGACATCCCATCACATCACATCACATCACATCATCCCACTCTGTTATAACCCCGAAAACTTGAATGTCTGTTCAATTACTTACAAGTTTCATAGAGTGCTCCTGATCAAGATGGATTGACATCTCGCTGCCCTCCAAAAATATCTTGTGGGCGGCCATATCCTCCATTCAAACCTACAGGAAGCTTTAAAACAAGGAAGAAATTATGGGAGTTTTTTTTTCATGATTTTCAGAACTTATTCAAACACAGGATCATCTCATATTGTTGAATTTTTAGGCTAAGGCACGTAAGAGTTAGAGGGCCAAAAAAGGAAAAAATTCTTTTTTGGGAAAAGCTCACGGAGAAAGAATGAAAGAGCCAATAGTGTTTCTTTTATTCACTGTATCTACATACTCAAGATTAAATAGACAAAATACAAGTGATGAAAAAGTGGTTGTGAAAAAATGAATAATGAAAACATAATGAATAAAGAACTGAGAGGAGGAAACATGAATCTTTGGAAGAAACAAACCAGATAGTAGGGCTTCTCAATCTCTTTTAGTCAAGCCAGATGAGTTAATCAAGAAAAACATGCTATAATCCACAAATATTTAGAGTTGTTGATTCTAATTAATCAGGCTTGAATAAATCCATACAATAAATCAGGAAAGAGAAGAATTCACCATAGAGACATAAGTAGTTGAGATGAGCTGATTACTTATGCTTCATATTTGACTCATAAAGGAGCTTCTAACAACTGAAAACAAGCTAATAGGTGGATATAGTCTGGTCTGATTGATGATGATTAGAAGAAGGATTTGAGGAAAATCAACACATATAACTACATAAAAGTATGTATGCAAAATTTCCAATCATCAAACAAAAAAACATGGAAGCTGGATCACTCAGATCAGCCTATTTATTGAGAGTCTTGTTTACAGACAGAGTATGTGTTGGTCCACTTCAAGATTTGCATCAACTGAAAAAGACTGTGAATATTATGATATCAATTTGAAATTATTTTCCAAGAAAAAGAAGTCTCTCTGTTTGGGATATCTGGAAGCAACACAGAATTGGAATGAGATTATGAGCCCATAGCAAATCGAGTACTCTAGTCTCTGTCCTATCAGTTTTTTGATTGGCCCACAAACAAATATAAGCTGGAGTGTGTATTCCAGGTGGATCCTATTTCAGAAGTCAACAATTCAATTTCTCTTCCACAGTGTTTCAAGCACCTGCTGATGAAATTTCTGTTCACATTCGAGTGCCAAAAGGAAAGATGGAGAACTCGAATAGCCGGTTGCGGTTACAACTTTATAAGTTTGGCTATGTGACATGACTTGTGATATGTATGTGTGTGAAATGTGAAATAGATAAAAATAGAAAAGAAAAAAATAGATGAGAAAAAACTTGGAATATAGAAAAAGATAGAGAGTTCGTAATGTTGCTAATCCCATAACTCTTACAGCCCCTCCCAACATGAAGAACTAATGTGGTCAATAAAAAAATAAAGAGAAAAAAAATTTGAGAGATAGAATCAATGGTAGAAATAGAGAAAATTAATCAAAAAATAAGAAATATAAAAATAATGGAAAAAATAGTGAAAATAGATGAAAAATATTAAGGAAAATGAGGAAAAAAATATTAAGGAAAATGAGAAAGAAAAAAATAAATGACACAGAAGGAAATGGAGCCTATGTTGCGCTGGGAATGTTCTGGATTGAAAGGTCTTTTGTGCTAGCGAGATGTTTTGAGGCCCCCAAACGTTTGGTGAAAACGTCGGCTAGTTGAAATTGATTTGATATCCAGTATAGTTTAACCTGGTATTTTCTCACAAAATCATTGACAAAGTAGAAGGCCCGTTGGAGGTATTTTATTTTCTTCTTTGATGCGTTGTCCGTGGCTACAAGAACAGCTGCCTGATTGTCACACAGAATCTCATAAGTGGCCACCGGACAGACATCGTCAAGAACGATCTTGATGTTTGCCAGTGTCTGTGTAGCAATGGATAATGCCACGTATTCCGCCGCACAGGTGGACATGGCAACAACGTCTTGCCGCTTGGATCCCCAAGTGATTGGATTCCTGCAGTGTTGTAGTAGGTATCCTGAGGTTGAACGCTCATGCTCGCCTCCCCACCCTGCATTGACGTATAGGCGCACCTCTTCTTTCCCCGGCTGGAAAGTAATTGCCTTGTGAGGGTTCTTCTTTATGTATCCCACTAGGTGGTCCAGCGCTAGCCAGTGATCATTTGATGGTCGACTACTGTAACGTGCCAGCATGTTGACCGCATAAGCAATATCGGGGCGGGTGCCGCAAGCAAGATACATCAAGGATCCAAGTACAGATCGGAAAGCTGTCTCGTCAATTGGATTGGTTGTTGAAGTTTCTAATGCAGATTCCGGCAGTGTGGTGTTTTGGTGTACCACACGTTGATGATAATTCGATACCACCTGTTTGGCCAAAAGGTGTTGTTCCAAGAACGCAGTAGAGTCCTGTTGATGGATGTTGATGCCCACAATCTGATCGACGGTGTTCTTCCATTTGACTTCCAGATGTTCCGTCAGTCCCTTGCGGAGATCATCGATGGCGGACTAAGAGTTGCTGACAACGAGCCCATCATCAACGTGCATCCAGATGAAAATGGAAACCTCCTCGCGACGGTAGACGTAGAGTGAAGATTCCACTTCTGATGCCTCAAAATCAAGTTTGGCGAGGATTTGTTTGAAGTGTAGCCACCAGCAGCGCCCCGCTTGCTTCGTCCCGTAAAGAGCCTTCTTCAGTCGGAGGACTTTGCCTTTCAACAGTGGTCGCAACTCAGTTGGTGGCTTGACATAGACCTCTTCCTCTATCAGGCTATATAGATATGCAAGGGGGTTTCCAGGGTCCTCTTGAAACTATTTGAAACCATCATTTATCAGATTAGGAAATTTCAAGTTGAAGTGAGTCAAGAAGACTGGGCTGGATTTCATCAATTAAGAGAGAAAAAGAAAAAAAAAGGTTACTTGAGCATTTGAACATAACTGGTCAAAACAGAATTTAGGCATAGAAAATAAGAATCCTTTGGTGATACTCTGCAGCCATCCTCAGATTTGAAACCCACAAAATGGGGTTGAGAGCATCAAAATCCATTTTCACCTGTCATCTCTGTTTAATTTGCTTTGTGATTTGGTTGTTTCAGCTATTTTTCCCTTTGACTCACCTCAAGTAAAAACAGCACAGCAAGAATCAATTTTTGCTTGAGCCTGCTTGACCCTGATTCTTTGGTTTGAAATCCCACAAAGAATCTATTCATAAGTTTTCTACATGGGTGACACTGGGTGACATGATTCTCCAGCTCACATGGGTCAGAAAAAGTTAAAAACGTGCCATTGGGTGGGGCCACGCTTTGATGCTGCGCACCAAGGCACACCCCCCTCGAGGCCTGTCGGGAAGAAGGGGTGTGCTCCGATGCAATCACCCAACTGGAAAGGCCAGAGCGACGATGGCCAAGTTAGACGACTTACCAGCCGAACTGATTCGCAGGATAATCGATCAAGTCATCTATGATCAGGAGTATGACCCACATGGAACTGGTGTTGCTGACTATCACCATGCGCTTGACTACAACGAGATCGTACAGACTCCACAGAAGCCATGGCCTCATCTGGATCACAGAGACTACAATGGAGGCAGCTCTCTACCCTTCTATTACCCTAAAAGCTATCATTTGATCGATCCTCGAAAGAATCATCGGGAGCCTGAGAAGAAGAAACGTGGGAAGAAGCACGGCAAGAAACCTGCAGGGAAGAAACCCATACCGGTAAGTGTTGAGTTATTCTAGAAATCCATCAACAGTTTGTTCTTCACTAAAAACCCATCAACTTGCTCCATATCTCAACGTAGCCGCCCCCAGTTTCATGGCCACATGGTGAGGAAAATTCCACAAGTTTAACAAGCAGCCCTGAATTAATTACTCATCTCTGTCCTGATAGGTCTACCATCCAATCCATTATTACCGCTCTCATTGGTCAACCACACCTTCCAACGATTTGCTCAAGAGTCACTCTTCAACAACGTAGCTTTGCTCGATGGATCCCAGGTGTACTCTTTCAGCCGAGCAATTACTGGCCCATCCCAGCAGCATAATTCGGAGCTCAGGCGCCTTCCAACCGGCACCAAAAGCAGGCCGTTACCTCGTAGGGTGGCTTCATCACGTGTGATAGATCCTTCTTGTCCCAGTTCACTAGCTCGACTTGTTTGCTCAATACAGTTCAAATGGCTTGGCAGTGGGACAATGTGCAGAATTTCCGTCAATAGTATCTGCGACATTATCCAAAGCTGTTCATCTCTCGAAAATATTGCCATGAGTAACCGACTTTATGTCAACTTCAAAGAACCTATCCTCAAAGCGCTCGAGAATAAGCGGCTGACTAAGGAGTTTGTTCTCATGGACAATGCCCGGGAGCATAAAAATAATACATCAAGTTCAATGCAACACTGGCATGTGGAAGGAGGCGTTGGTCATCTGCTATCTAGTTGGGACTCGCTCGAAACGGTCGAGTTGACTGATCTCTCTATTGCAGAGGTGACCAGGTTTGGAAGGGTTCAGAAACCAATACCCTCACCGATTTGCGCCTTGAAAACAATAATCTTGTCCTGGTTTGATATATACGGGTCTAGCCTTTCCTTATTGCTGAAAAGCTCCCGAGAGAGTATGTGAACACTCCGAATAATCGGTCCATCCTCCAAGCTCGACCGACCTAGCTTGTGTCAGGTTTTGAGAGAGTCTACTGGTCCGGATTTGGAATCCTTGACGGTCATTGTGCCCAAGGCTTGGTACCCGATCCACCCATCCAAGAACCTCAAATCCTCAGATGACCCCGCTAAAAACTACAGCCTCTTAGATATTGTCTTCAAGAAGTCTTCGGCCTTGAGGAAACTAAAGTCATTGCACGTTGGCGGTCAATTGGCCGGACCCGAGTTCTTTAACTTCTTACCTCAATCAATTATCAAGCTTGCATGGGAGATCTGCCCCTTCACGGCCACCGCATTCGCTAAATCACTCTCAAGCTGGAGAAAGGACGAAACACCTCAACTTCCTTCTCAACCTGGTACCCTACGTAGCTCTGACCATCTTGTCCAATGGATACCAAACTTGAAGTGTTGCTCAGTATTTGATGATTGTCAAAACTGTAGGTCTTCCTACTCTTTTCCAAACCTAAGTCAGATAGGGGATCTGAGTGTTGTATTGATCACTGACTCTTTTTTCAAAATAAACTTTCCATTCATAAAAAAATTGTGGGGGGGGGGGGGTTGTTATATACATTAGGGCCCAGGAAAGATCGAACAGCAGTTGAGCAGGCGTTGAAAGAACGAGGGGTTTGTTCTCATATTGATTTTCAAGTTAAGAAGGAGTCTTCAGGACTGGACGAGAGTGATCTGGAAAACGAGGAGGAATCGGAAGGCACTGAGACCGAGTACGAACATTACTTAAGGAGGGACTCCGCCTACGACACGTCGGACTTGGGGTCTTCTGAATCAGACATGTACTGATGGTATTCCCGGCTTGATAAACATTTACATGCTATAAACATAAAAATGGGAATCATTCAAAAATTACTTCCCCAAGTTATGGACAGATTTATGATTTTTGACCCCCATCATTAACTCAAAAGACATCAACTTTACTTCAAGATTTCTTTTCCGCTTCTTTAGTTCCAATGAAAAGCATCCAAACCGTTATCTAAATCTATTACTAGCATTATCACAGACTAACTCCTGATGATTTACTTCTAAATGTCAACACTACATCCCAATTAGCTTATTGTAATTGTTGTACTCAAATTCTGTATTTTTTAATGAGAAAGAGTTTGTCCAAGCAGCAGAATTCCAGCTATGCTATGAGTCATATCCACGCAGTTTGCTTCATTACAGATATCTGCAAGCGATCTCCATGTTTATTGTCAAGTGTGCTTTTTTGGCTATGATGTTATGAAGAACTAGGGAATTATTTTTACCAAAGATTATGAGGGAGCTCATCATTATACTGAACACCAAGGGATTGGATCAGTTGAACAATGACCCAGTCCTCATTTGGAATAAAAAGATAACTGTGATACAGATCTCAAATCAATTTACATCAATTTCAATTATCAAAGCAGCAAGATATGGCAGTTTTGGAATATATTTTACCTTTATACCTTTATAAAGGTATCAAGGTGAAAAATTTGAAATCTTCAAATATATTGTCCGAATTGACATATTTTCCTACATATCTCCAGATTCAATATTAATGGCCAGAGGGAAAGTGAAATAATCTTAAAAGAACTTGTCTATTAAGCTGCTGGATTTCTATTGATCTGGTATCCACATGTCCCACTAGGTGTGTGATATAATGAATTACTGCCACTCTTCTTGGTCAGCCACAAATTTCAATATTGGGCTGAGGAGAGGCTCTACAACTGTATCGAGAAGAAAAAAGACATGGAGAATGGAATGGAAGTAAAATGGAAAAAGAAAATAGAAAGGCATGCTTGTGACAGAGCAGAGAGGGGGTTAGAAAATTAAGAAAAAATAATCTGTCCACCATGAGTCATGACAAGTGATGCTGACTCACATATACAACTAAACTGGTGACATGTGAATGAAATGATGTGTTGCAGTTATGCAGCACAGACAAGATACAGAAATGAGGAGCTAACACAACATATACAGCACAGAAAAGTGTGCAACAGGCCACTTATGGTTGTGTTAATTCTCATTCCAGTGTTTCTTCTGGATAAATTGAAGAATAATGGATTTATTGCTTGGAAACAGAAACCAGACTGAGAGAAGAAAAAAGTCAGAAGAAGAAAAAAAGAAAACAGTGAGAAAGAGATGAAGAGAGAGATGAAAGAAGCATACCATTGATGTGAATGACAAAGGTGAGTGAGGACCTTTTTAAGAAGAATGAGGAAGAAGGAAGTAGAAGATAAAGACTTTTTTAAAGAGAAAAGAAAAGAAAAAATAGAGAGTTAGTTCTTTTGACAACAACCACAGAGAAAGAAGTAAAAGGAAAGGGAAAAATAAAAAGGGAAGAGAAAAAAACAAAACTAGAGGCAGAGAAAGGAAACAAACAGCACAATTGAATAGGTTCAAATTTGACACACACAATAAAGCAAGGATAGGAGAAGGACACTTGTTCTAGGAATGAGGAGAAACGAAAGAAAGGATGAGGAAGGAGAGAGTCAGGACAGGGAGAGACCACGTGATGATCGAGGAGTTCTGTTTTACATTACAAGCAGAAATTCCAAGAGTCGTGACGTTTGATGATTATCGTTTGTCAGGTAGTCTTGAAGAATTTGATCCGTAGATGTTTCTTGGTTGGATGAGGAAGAGAAATTGAGTTAGAGCGGTGGATTATTCTTTTGAGAGGAGCGATTCAACCCTAACTGATTGATCTGCTGATTCCGCAGTCTCGCGGAGTGCACGGATCAGGACGAAAACTCAACATAAATTATTCTTCATTCAACAGTGGGCCAGTTACACTAACCATAGTGTTAGTGTAGCGGAATTCCGCTAAACTTTAGTGTAGTGTAGTGGAATTCTGCCACATCTGCACTAACACTACGCGCTGTTGAAATTTAAAACAGAAGAACTTAGGAGGCAGAGGGCCAAGAAGGTGAATTTCCTTTTGGGGAAAGGTCCACGGAAAAAGAGGGAAAGAACCAATGATTTTTATTCACTGTAGGTAGGCTAGCTTAAGTAGACTAAATACAAGTGATCAAAATGTGGTATGAGAAAGAATGAATAAAAAAGTATTTTGAATAAAAACTGAGAGGAAGAAATGTATGAGTTCATGGAAGAAATAACCGGACATGTCTTCTCAGTCTCTTTTAGACAAGCTAGTAAAATTAATCATGAGAAAACAAACAATCCACCACATATGATTAGAGTTGTTAATTCTAGACAATCAGCTTTTTAAGAATCAAATAGTGAAAATAGAAAAAGAAAGAAGCCACTCAATAAGACGGGAGTTGTTGATAAATTGCTATTGAGAGTTCTAATTAGACTACTAAGATGCATAAGATTCAACAAAAAACCAGCCATGGAGAACTATAATTCAGTCTATTTCAAGAAGATTCAAGAAAGAAAAATAGAGAAAAAATTAGGGAAGGAGGAAGTGAATTTAGGGAAGAGTAGGCAAAGACAGTGAAAACTCAACACGCGCATAGGCCCCAAAAAAGTGCCCACTACGCTACGCTAACACACTTGTTAGCGGCTTTTTGGCCCTGTAGCAAAGTGTAGCGTAGCAAAAATCCACTAAAAAGACACTAACACTACAAGATTTTGGCACAAAAAAAGCACCACTATGCTACACTTTTTGGGCCAAAAGCGTAGCAGCCCACCGCTGCTGTAATCTTTGTGTCTCCTAGTCACAATGGATCCCTGACATATCAAATTGCCACTACCTGGGCAGCAGGCAAAACAATTTGGACTCTAAGTGCTGAGTATAAATTCAATTTATAAACAAGAAAATGACTATGAATGCTCACACATCCTATTACCACATTCTATTTCTCAAGAGCACTTCCAAAGAAAACTGGTATTTTCCAATGCTGGCCATAATTTCTTAATTTTTTGCTATATGTCATTTTCTAAAAATGTTTGAGTTTCATAAAATTTACCAAAGGTCCTTCTAGATGATTATGGAAGTGCCCACTTGTGAGCCTGGGTCTCCATAGTGACATCAGGACACAAGATATGGGGGGAACTTTGATATGTATTTCTTAAGAGAAGAGGGATACAAATAAAAGTAAGAGAAAGGGAAGAAGAGAAAGGAAAGAATTGAAGAATATTTTTGTTCTTTATTTATTTTATGAAGATGATTAAGTTCTGGCAGTCTTACTTTCCCTTTTGGATGGCTGCTGACAGTCTTCCTTTCCTTTTTAGGATGGCTGTTATAAGCGGAGCTAACTCTGACGGCTCTAAATCAACAGAAACTGAAATGGGTTATTGACACTGAAGAATCAGGTCAACCAAAATTTTTTAGATCAAAGATCAAGGCTCTTTAAAGGAAAACTTATGTAGTTTTCAGTTGTACTACCAAACAGGAAGAATTGGGATAGTAGAAGCTAGAGCTTGCTTTCTTTGATCAGGGCTTTGGTTTGGAGAAGAAGTGAAAGAGGTTGAGAGAGACAGAGAAAGAAACAAGCAGAAAGATGCTAGCTAAAACTTATGAGAAGTTACTTACTAATGACACCAATGACACTGTGTATTGGGAAAGGTGGGAAAAGTGGAGTACTTCTGGTTGATAAGTGATGGCTTGATCTGGGTCTGGTTGTTGTGGCTCTGTGTTGGTCTGGAGTCTGAAGATCCTGAAAATGCGAACTCAGTATCCTCTGAGAGAATTTTCAGAGTTGGATTACATAATCACAACATGTACATGTGGTAGGGAGAGTTGGAATTCCAACTTAGTTGATATTTCACAAGGTACAGTGAAATATAACAAAGTCTATGAAGGAGAAGAGTAGTGTAAAAGTGGTTAGTAGTGAATGGACGACTTCCTGTCACATCTGCGGGTCTCCCAGAAGTGATTTAGAGGCTTCAAAAGCTAGATTTCCCAGCGAAATTCTAGACTTTTTGGGTCTAAATCGACATCTGCGAGGGTCCCAGATCCAACGGAAAGTCCTCCAATAGGGTTGAAATTACATGAGGAATTCATTTCTGAATTCAGAATTCAATAAAATCTTAAGCTTAATAAGTTACAGTAGGAACATGGATGAAAATGGGGGACTTGAGCAGTCTTTTGGTCAGCTTGGCTGGCTCTAAGGCTGACACCACTGGCCCAGATTCTGATTAATTGGAGCTGTTTGTACCCACTCATTGTTACTCAATCCAATCCACTCAGTCTCTTCTACAAATTTTGACAGCATAGATTTCCCAACCAAAAACCTAGGCCTTTCCAATTGTCATGAACAATAATCCCAAAATTGCAGGAGATGGTCTGTAAGGTGTTTGTACTTCTCCGTCATGGTTCATATTGTTTGATTTATGCTAGAAAGTGGAAATCCACTTTTATCTCTTGGCCAAATAAAAGAAATTGGTAAAACCCAAAATTATTGCTAAATGTTTATCCCCTCACTTCTGTACACCAATATCACAAACACCATACCACCATATTTTGAACCTCATACACCTTCCCTTGCTGCTCAAGTTTCTCTACTGGTGAGTGTATTGAAAGGAGTTGGTGGTGAGTCAGATTGGGTGCAAAGGTCTAATTTTCATAAGTACACTTGAAAGTGAAAGACAAACTGTTGAATTTTTTGCAAAAATGTCCAAGAAAGGTACTTTCTTAATCACTTGCTGAGGGGGCTCAAGTGCTCCAGACAAGGGTGAAGAAGGGATCAAGCTCTCCTTCAGTAACGATTAAAAAGAATAAAGAAACAATAGTTGTAATTTCTTATTATCTAGAGGATTTAAGTAGTCTAGATACAGCATAGTCAAAATGTAGGAGCAGCATATTGAGTAAGAAACAGACATCAATGATGAATAGCAACCAGTATAAAAGAGTGGCATGTAAAAAATGAGAGAGCTCAAGTGAAATTTCAACACAAAAAGTCTAAGTGTTTACTGCTGCAAAATATCTAAATACTGTAAAAGTCAAGACTTGACTTGTTTCTGATGATTCCTTATGATCATTTTTAAAATCTAGGGGCAGACAAAAAAGTGCAGATTTTCTTCTGCTATCTCTTCTTCTGTAATAGTTTTTTCTTTCTCCTTATCTCATGATGATCTGATAAAATCCTTTGACAACCATCATCTCAATTGATTGCATCATTTTCTTATGAAGAAGCCACATTTATTTTAAAAACACACCAGAAAAATCTTGAATATAATACTATCATAAGAACTGTCCTCATTTTCCTTATTGCCAAAATAGTATGACCATTGAAGTTTCAAATGATTTTTTACCCAAATTCAAACATTCTTCATCCTGAAATTATTCCTCTGTTTTATTTTATAGAAAAAGTGTATCAATTGGGTATATCCCAAGAAAGAATTCATCCTTCTCCCACCTTTTTGAAGAACCAGAACATGATAAAAATTTGTCAGAAGTTCAAGGTATTTTACTCATATTTTTGGATCAACAAACGACATTTTAGAGAGCAAGTGAAAGGAAATTGGCTCTAGGCCTTGATATGGCAAAAAGGAAAAGGAATGAATATTCATCCAAAACTGGAGAAGGAGTGACATGTGGGAAAAGAATGACATTGATAATGATATGACAAGGAGGAAAGAGAGAGAGATGATAGAATTCCAACAAAATGGAAGGATTGTAATGAATAACAAGTAGCTGATGAGGGATCAAAATGAGGAACACATGAAATTCCAACACAGTCAATGATCAGGAACTGGAACATCTGACTTTAATTCTCTAGAAAGTGAAGTTTTAACAACCATGTGCTCAAGATGAGACCTTAATCAGGGGGAGAAGGGGAGGAGAATACTGTGAAAGAACTTTGAGCCAAGTTATTTAATTGAACTGAAGCAATTGGTAGAACTTTCATTCAAGTCTTGGAGATTTATGCAGGATTGAACAATGGGTTTGGAAACACCTCTTAAGGCTAAAGGGACAGATCAAAGTGAAGGGTTTTGTCAACCTTACAGACACTCCATGGTGTCCAAAGGGCTCCAGATTCAGATTGTAAGTCAGAGGAATCTTCAGATCAGAAATATGTAAAAACATAAAGAATAGAATAGAATAGAATGTCACAGCTCTACTGAATTCAAATCGGTAACAAGATTATGTAACAATATTGTAACAATATTGCATTAAACATGAAATAAGTGAAGTAAGCAACATACTATTAAAACTTAGAATAAACCAAAATAAAAACCATAATCGCGTATGGCTGCATTCAGTAATCTTATTATAAAGTTCACATTTCCCATGAGCATTGATGAGCAGCCAGATTAAATCTTTCTCCCTCTCCCAAGAATCCATCAAAACATTGTATCTTCTTTTTGAAATACTCATCCAACATGGTATAATTTTCCTTTCTTTTTATTGACTAAAAGCCCCGATATGAACAGTTAAGTGTATCTACAATATCATTGGAATCCCTAGAGAATCAAAAGGACCAAAATGAAATACTTAAAATCCATAACAAACAACATAATGAAAATTAAATTAAATAAACTCATGTAACTGGGTTTGATTTTAATAACCAGATCACATCTCTTGGCCAATAAAAATTGTCAAAATCATAAAGATCTGATTGAACCTATTCCTACCTTTAGGATCAGAGGCCATGGTGTTGCCTTACTGGCTATAGAATGTCATTTTAGAGTTTAAATAACTTCAACAAAAAAGGACGATGAAATTTGTTTGGGTCTTCTCTTATCTTTCATCTTGTATCTATAAGTCCCTTACAGAAGTAGTAAATTCATTAGTTCACCTCTTTATGTCCAGATAGATAAAATTACCCAGGAGAAGGACCTTGGAGGGAGGTGGCCAGTAACTAATTTCCAGATTGTCCTTCTGGCCAGAACCCACAACTGAGCATGGGATATTGATTCTTTTACCTATTTTTCCCATGTTGTTTGGTCAAGGTTTGAGTTTAGATGGACTGGTAAAGGAACACACAAATTGCAAAGGTCATCATGGGTAAATGTTTCCCAGCAATAGACAGGTGCAACAAGATAAACTTTTGTCATTAGCAGGGTTCACCATGTGAAGGCCCAACCTCAGTTTAGATTACAAAAGCCATTATTTCTATATTTAGTTCCACCTTTTCCCTTTTACCTAGACACCAGAGTTCTTCCCTCTCCTGTATAGGTATATAATAAGGTTTTCCTTATGTTGTTTCTCCTTCTCCTCCCAAGTCTTACTCTAAGATCCTGTAGTACTGACTATTGTTCTTGCCTATCCTGTCTAGTATTTGAAATAGAATCCCACTTTGGTTCTAGAAACCTTACACTTTCAGCCTGTGTCCTGCCCATCAAACAAACATAAGAGGTTCAGTGAAGGAACACAACCTTTACGTTCAAAATAAGATTTTTGCTTCCTGAAACTGGCTTGAAATTTTCCTGGATTAGGAAATTCTGAGCTTAAATTTGGCCTTGAATTAAGCTCATAATTCTGACCCAGGAAACTCTGAAGGATTCCTGAATGCAGATTGAGGCTTGAATTTCAGAACATCTTTCCCGGATATGTTAAATGCTAGCTTAATTCAAGCCTCCCAACCAGTGTTTGCGAATACCAAGGTTCTTGCATATCTTCCTCACAAAATATTATTGTGAACATCACTATTCACTCTACTCATATCATTCTAAATTATTTCCTGATTTGTCCCAATATTTGCAGATTAGTTGAATGAACTGAGCTAGTTATGTATTTATTGTTACTGAGAAAGAGGAGATTTTGTGAGACTACTTTTGAGCAAATGAAATGCATATTGCTTGGTCTGCCCCCCTGATTGGACCTGCACTGGAGGTCTGCTTTTGCACACCACCACACAGTAAATTCTCTGAAGGCCTCTTTTGTTCCTCTCCCCTTAAGACATTGATAGGGCACCAAGAATCTCAAACACAAGTGGTAATCATTTTCACTGAAATGTTGAGTGAATCAATCACTATATACTCAGTCAATATTCCTCTCTTATAAAAAGATAGCTGGACTTGCCAGCAGTGTTTTATTTTGTGATCATTTTTGGCATCAATTTTCTCTCGCCTATATCTATAATAATTCCAGTTTCACATCTCCTTCTCCTTACTCCAGTTTACCATGCTTTCATAAGGACACTTGGCACTTTACCCAATAATTCACAAGGAATTTATGTACCCAAAAGAAAATGATGGTCATTTGTATATGCAAGTATGTTCATCACTATTGTTTTGCTCACCATCCCGAGTGTAATTTTACAAGACCTGATAGCCCAATCGTCATTTCTATTGCCTTTGTGCCCCACCCATTAATTACAACAGTCCCATATGACAGTGAGTACTACAATAAGTACCGTACCTGAGCATGAGGTCGGATGTACGCAAACCGCCGAGCGATCAGATGATTACCGTGTCGAGAACTTTACTCTTAAGGTGCTAGCAACAACACCCATAGTCATCATCATCCTCCTCAGAGTCACACACATTTTCATCGCCCTCGGATTCAGCGTAATAATTGCCCCCACTGTGGAAACATACCCGTCGAGCTCTTAATGCCTTATCAATCGCGTCCCGCTCCTGCTTATCCCCTATTACGGATACCCCAACAAAAGTTTTTTTTTTTTTTTGAAAACAAAAACAATGATCAATTTATGATTATCTAACAGTTAGCAAACAATCTGATGTGCAGTCATCCTCTGAAGTGCTTGACTAGCTAGTAGAAAGAAACAAGAGACTGACAGTCATAATCGTCGATGACGGTGCAACATTTTAACTTTGGTAACCATTGGACACGTCTATTGAGGACATCGGTGTGGTCGAGTTTGAGATCAGAAGGCAGCTCAGGAGGGTATTGAATGAAGCTAGAGAGTGCTTTGGCGAATGCAGCGGCTGTGAGGTGACATCTTCCCCAGGAAAGTTTGACAATAGACGGGGGTAAGAAAATGAAGAGCTCAGAGCCGGTCAATCGACCTTGGATAGACAACGACTTGAGATTCTTGAGGGCGGAAGAAGATTTGAAGAGAATCTCCAACAGGTTGCGGTTTTCGGCTGGGTCATCTGAGATTTCGTTGTTGACTGAGGAGCGGATTATGTGCCAATTCGGGAGTGTAGCGACCGTCAAGGATTCCAAATCTGGGCCAGTGCACTCTTTCAAGATTCGACATAAGCCCGGTCGATCAAGTTTTGGGGTTGGGTTGACTATCTCGAGTGTCCGCAGACTCTCGAGAGCTCTGCAGAATCAAGGCAAACTCTCTTTCGTCTAGATCAGGTTCAGTCAGGATGATTGTTCTTAGGGCGCAATTCACGATCACGGGTATCGACTTGTGAATGGTTTCGATCATTTCAATTGGCCGACCAGAGAGCTTATGGAGTTCGATTTTTTCCAGATGCTCCCACTTGGCGAATAATCGAGCGACTACTTCGTCCGCCAGCCATATGATTTTCTGGTTGCACGGGTGTCCATAGAAGTCCTTGAGAACAACAAAGTCTTTGATGTGTTTTCGACTCGCAAGGGCGTCCATAATCGGATCTTTGCAGCGGCCGTCGAGTGAGTTAACCATAGCAAAATTTTCGAGCGAGGGACAACTCCGGATGGTTTCACAGATCAGAGAGCCGCCGCCCCTTCCCATCGAAGGCGGTTTGTGGTCGCTCCAATCTTTAAGTAGTAACGAGTGGACGTGTTGAGCTAGTGGGCTCAGCCGAGGATGCTTGGTGTCAGACGATGAGCCGATCTCAATGTCGCCCTCCTGAAGCTCATGGAGGAATAAGCATCCCTGCCATTGGTTGTGTAATGCCACGTTCTGGAAAAGCCTCTCCTGGGCACACTGTCGAAAGGTCCGGTTGATTAACGAGAGCGGCAACAACTTGTTGGATGGTAGACCTGGCGAGACAGAGAGATGACTGGTCAATATAGCCTATAATTAGTTTGGCGAGCTTGATGGCTCACCCTCTGGCCAAGAAACTTGAGCTAGCTAGATGGGGACGTAACTCCAGGACGAGAGCAGGCAACACAAATATTCAGCACAGAACAGTTACCGATGAGCTCTAAAGTAGGAAACTGGATCGGAGGCTTGACACTCACCGTCTCGTTGTTGTTGTCTCTATGGGACGTGCGGAAATCGTTATTCTTGTGCTCCAGATGAGCTCTTGGCCTGTCTTGAATGTGGTCGAGGTGGAGATGGCATCCCTTGAGCTGGTTGTTGTCGTTCTGAGGGAGTACAATGTGATCGATGACCCTATGAACCAGCTCTTCGGACAGGTCGCTCAAGATGGCCATCTTGATGTCTCTGGGCGTTCCTGGCGAGGCTCGGCCATCGACCGACGACCAGATGGTGGTAGCAGGCAGAATATCACACAACATCTGCAAGTCATCCATCCATACTTCAATACGTGGGATCTTGAAGAACCTCAGCTGATTAAACTTCCAAGCACCGCTCAAGACCAACAAGATGGCCAAGTTGACCGACCTGCCAGCCGAACTAGTTCACAGGATCATCGAGCACTTCATCCAGTATCATCAGTGGGACCCACACGGCTACCAGGATCATGGCCTGCGCCACGACTACAACGTTCGAATGGGAAGGATTGGACAGAAACCGAGACCTCATCGAGAGAACAGAGATTCGGATGGCATTAGCACCCTGGTTCGACTACGCACCCATCACACCGAGGAAACCAGTGATGACGAGGTGAGTGTTAAGCCCTGGTCTTTCAAAAGTTCCTCATTTGACTGAATCCTGTCTTACATATCTTCACAGTCGCTGCATCTTTCATGGCCAGATGGCAAGTGGTGCTTAATCCCCCAGAGGTCTACATACTATATTGTAGAAAAACGAGAGACTGATCAACATTCCTCTTGATATCCAGGTCTCCCCTCCCATCCCTTGTTACCGCTCGCCCTAGTCAGTCGCACCTTCCGACAATGTGTCCAGGAGACGCTCTTCAAAAACGTGGCTCTAGTTGACAAATGGCAGGCTTACTTGTTCTACCGATCGCTTACTCGCCCCTCCCCACGAGATGGACCAGAACCACATATGCTGGCTCCGAACGAAGCCAGCGATGTGTCTCAGTCTCAGGAACGCAGCATCAAAGTCGTCCCATCGTCTGGAGTCAGCCCCCCTCGTCTGAACAGACTAGCCCAATATGTTCGCTCGCTTCAGTTCATGTTTCGCAGTCCCCATTTGTCTGGCACTAACGGCTCAATGGCACTGAGGGGCAGTTCGCTGGTTTCTGACATTCTCCGAAGTTGTCCTCACCTCGAAAATGTTGCCATGGTGTGTAAATTCCTGACTCGCTGTAAAGAGTCCATCCTGGAAGCCTTCGCAAGTAAACAGCATATCAGGGAGTTTGTTATCGAGAACCACACCAAGGCCCCCCTGGAATTCTGCTGGCTGGCCGATGAAGTCGTCACGCGTTTATTCTCCAAGTGGGATTCACTGGAAACGATCGAGTTCTATCAACTCTCTGGGCGCCCGACCGAGGAAATCGAGCGTATCCATCGATCGATACCCGTCTTGAATTGTCATCTGCAGATGATCATCTTAACTAAGCCTGATCTAGATGGGAGGGAGATTTCCTGGCTGTTAACGAGCTCTCGAGAGAGCATGCGAACGCTGAAGATTTTAGCACCAAGCGCGAAGCTTGACCGACCAGGCTTGTATCGGGTCCTAAAAGAGCACACCAGTCCGGATTTGGAGTCATTGGCGATCCAAGTGGAAGAAACTTGGCATCCGATCACCGCAGACCAGAACGTCAGAGGTTCTGATGATCCCACCAAAACCAACGGCCTGTTAGAAATCGTTTTCAGGTCTTCGTCCGCCCTGAGGAAGCTCCAACACTTGTCCGTTAGTGGCCCTCTAGTCGACTCCAACTGCTTTGATCTCTTGCCCCAATCGATCATCCAGCTCAGCTTGGATTGGCGTATCAGCGGCCCTGCGTTCTCCAAGGCGCTATCAAGCTGGAGATTGATCAAAGATGATCGGCTTCCTCCTGAGTCGTGTTCTCCCCCATCTAACTTCTCCTGTTGCGGTGATCAGTGTGAACCATGGCTTGCCAACTTGAGATGTTGCCTTGTCACCTCTGACAAGCGATGTGGGTATTTATTTATTTTTCTTCTCCTATATGAACATTCAGAGTAGGGCCATCTTATCAAACAATTGACCACCTTATTATATCACAACATAGGGAGAGATGAGGACCGAAAAGCAATTATCGAAGCCATGGATGCCCGAGGTGTTTGCTATCATAGCTCTTGGGGGGACTACTTTTCGGATGATGATGAGAGCATGTCTGATGGGGAGTCGGTGGATGATGAAGCAACTGAATTGGAATATGAGCAGGTTGGATATTACAGATTGATGGGCGACCCCGACCCGTGATCGCTTTTCTTTTACTCTATACCATCTGGCCTTCTTTAAGCCTAGAATGTATATCCACTTGTGGATTGGTGGCAGATGACTGGACAAGCAAATCATGATATCCATTTGGCTTTTGGGGTCGGTAAGCTAGACATCAAGCAAGTGACTCATAAAAACAATCACCAAACCAGTCTAATTAATACCTCATATCATCACTTGTGCTAGAATCTTTGAAATCATTCCCTTTCTCTTTGAGTCCCTGTGGTTCACTCTATTGATCAGCACCTCTTTGAGATAAGCTCAATACAACATCCAGGTGCATAGATAGATGGCTGATTTCCCCAACTGCTCTTGGGACACCAATTGTGATCCAACTATCAATCTCCATAACCTTGAACACGAGGGGATCGGAGATGTTTAGCAAAAGGCAAGACCTCTGTTTGCATCTCATCGCAACACACTTACAATCTAGGAAAGCATTTCTGATCATGGAACAATGATCCACTTTTGCAACAAAAAAAGACATTCCTGATTCACTTGGAGCTTTGTGTTTGTGAATGCGGTACGGTCAAGCTGAGGTTTCAGATAAAATGGTTGATGTGGAGCAAACACCAGTCAAGACACGAAAATTACCTCTTTGTTAAACCCATCATACCATGGATTGATCTGTGTACTGTAACCCAAGGAATTAAGAAGGATGACTTGAATACAGATGCCATTCACTCAGTCTCCCATGACTAATCAAGTATCAATGAAGGCCCTCCGAATACAGTGTGAGTTCCTCAAGTTAGCAAATCCTTTCTTTCAGCGCTATGGGTTGATGCAAAGCTCTTTGGCGGAGCACTGCACGCCAGTGGACGGGTCTTTTAAACGTTAACGGAGTGTGTGTGTGCTTAATTAATCTTTGAAAAAATACTTGGCTGGCAAGCTCCTGACAGTCACACAGACGCAAAGAAACACACTTCCCTCCTTCCTTGCCCACTGCACCAATTCTACTAGGAACATTGTACGAGATGGCGAGGTTGAGCGATCTACCAGCTGAATTGATCCACAGGATAATCGATCTCATCATCCATCCCAAACAACGGCAGTCGAGGGATCATCATGACGCCGACCATAACGAGATCGAGGGCATGCAGCAGAAATCAAGACCTCATCGAGTATTCAATGTCACCTATCGCCCCAGCTTTCGCCACCACACCCACACCTGGCAAGTCAATCATGTTACGGTGAGCTTCATATTCTGGCTGTTTTCGTTGCCCCTTTTCCTTTAGCCGGTCAGAGTATTTATTGATTTGTTTCACATTGATTTCCTTCCAGATGCCTGAAGCTCCATGGCCAGAGGGTGAGCCATACTCTTGCTTCATCAATGCTTATGCTGATTTTTTTTGTGTGTCTCCAGGTCTGCCATCCAATCCGCTACTGCCACTCTCGATGGTCAGTCGCTGCTTTCGACGGTGTGCCCAGGAGAAGCTCTTCAAGAACGTTGCTCTAGTTGATCAGTGGCAGACGCACTTATTCCACCGAACAATTACTCGTCCTTCACCGCAAGATAGATCAGAACTTACTCGTGCTTCGACTCACGCAGCAGGCACGCACGAGGCTCAGGATAATGAAACCGAAAGCGCCGATAATCTAGCCCGACATGTTCGGTCTTTGCAGTTTAAGTGGGCCGGCCACTGTTCGATGGGGAAAGGGGGCGGCTCCTTGGTCTGCGAGATCCTCCGCAGATGCTCGTTTGCTGAAAATGTCGCCATCAGTACCACCTTCTTGGATCACTGTAAAGAACCGATCATGGAAGCCTGTGCGACCCAACGGTTCATCAAGGACTTCGTCATCGTCCAGAAGAAATCCTCCCGCCCGGTCCTCGATTTTCAATGGCGAGTCGACGAGATGGTTACGCGATTATTTCCCCAATGGAACTTCCTTGAAACGGCCGAGTTTGTGGGTGTCTCTAGCCCGCCAGTTCCGGCAGTAGAACCTATCCGTCGATCGATTCCTGTCCTGAACTCTGCCCTGCGAACAATAACCTTGAAGCGCTTTGATCTAGATGAAATGGATCTTTCTTTGCTCTTGAAAGGCTCTCGAGAAACCCTGCGGAAGCTCCAGATTATCACTCCGTCCATAAAGCTCGACCGGCGGGGCTTATGCCGGATCCTAAAGGACGACACCAACCCAGATCTAGAATATTTGAAAGTCGAAGTGGGCATGTTGTGGCACCCGATCCACTTTGTTACCAACGAGACACGTTCTGATGATCCGGCCAAGAACTTGGGCCTGTTGGACATCGTCTTCAAATCCTCTGCCGCCCTGAGGAATCTCAAATCTTTGGTGGTTGACGGCCCATTGACCGGCTCCGAGTTCTTCACAGTCCTGCCTCAATCTCTCGTCAAACTCGCCTGGAATCGTTGTTCCCTCTCGCCCAGTGCATTTGCTAAGGCACTCTCGAGCTGGAGAGACATCACAACTTATAATCACCCTTCCGAACTGCATCTTCTGCAACCTACTAGTACTGATGACCCTCAAAACTCCGATCGACGCGTACAATGGTTACCGTATTTAAAGTGCTGCTCAGTCCACGAAGATGACACCTGTTCGTTCTTTTTGTTTCTCGTTTCCGTCACTTTTTTCACGCTCTCCAAATTTCAAAGTTGGAGAAGACGTGCACAGTATAGGAATTCTGACTCTGATTTTTTTTTTTTTTTTTTCCTTTTTTTAATCCCATCAAATAAAAAAATCATTTATGTTATCGGATGATTGTACTCTAGGGAGTCACGAAGAGTTAGAAGCGATTGAGAAGGCGCTAGAAGCCCGACGAGTATGTTTCCATATCGCAGGCGAACGGAAGTTCACCACGCGAGAGATGTATGAGGACGAGCTGGAGGACAATTTTCTGCCTGAAGGTTACATCCTCTTTAGCGATCTTGTCAGATGATCTTATAAGGCCCAATTGGATCCGCTGAAGACCGAGTGACATGATGTACTTTCTTCTTGTAAAATTAAGTGATAGTAAGGAAATTGAACCCCACACGATTGACTAGAATGTGGAAAGGGATAGCATTTGATCCCTCCAATTTATTTTGTAAAACATTGTACTTTCATCGAAACTCTTGTATTTTTTGACTTATTTATCTACATCACGAGGGGTTTTTGTCTTCTTTCGGATCAAGAAACGGCTGTTATTCATCGCCTTCTTGTTGTTGTAGATTACTGTGCTTTCATGATCAAAGAGTTTTTCGTTTCGTCGGCGCATTATAGATCAACTTGTGCGTTGTTGCACAAATCAACCTGACCTCAATCGAAACAAGTCCCTCAAGCGATATGTCACGGCCAACTCGGTTGCTTAGCGGTCTATAGCTCCTCGACTAGCAATCATCCAGGAAAGATGAATATTCGTAGCCGAGAAGGGTTTTCTTCTTCGCGCAGATGCTAGTTAGTCGTGATCAGCCTGACCCGTAGCGTTTCGACAACAAGAACACAACACCGAGATGGAGTTGAAAGCGCAACCGCTATGAGACTCTTTCCAAACGGGGTTTATTTTTGACGACGACAGTGCAAGATTGTAAGAGATGCGCCTATTTGTCAATTCAACCTTCGCGTACATAGCCTCTCCTTATTACTTGAAGCTCTCGCCCCGGTAGCTCAAATTTTTATCCACGTCATGACACGTGTCTTTATGTTCTTCCTCATCTTTAGGAAACCTGACTTAACACGCCCCCTGCGTTTGAGAAGGCGATGCGCGGTAAGCAGCATTAAAAAAGCAACGTTTCGTTGCACCTCTCATCGGGGTTGGGTACAAGGACAATTGTTGAATTGTCGACTTGGGGCGAGAAGTCAGACGAACTCAACCAACTCCCTTCTGGGCGTGATGGCGCGCTTCGTGACTTTTCTTCCTCAGCAGAATGGGCAAGCTATGGGACACACACGCACTATTTTGGACCATCATACTGTGTTTTAAATTGTCAATGGGGGTCGTAGACAAGTGTGAATCAAGGGCAGGGATGATGACAGACGATCAGAAATGAAAGAAACTGAAGACAGGTAGAGTTTGCTAGACAGTAAAAGCACAGATAAAGCATTCCCTCAAACTGGGGAGTTTGCGGTTTTGTCGCCGTCGAGGTCGTTACTGCATAAGAATTAAGAGAGCGCAAAGGTTGATGGTCAGTCGAGCAACATCAAATCGATCTGAAGAGTGTATGGCTTGACGCACAAGTCCCAAGTCATTCCTTCGTAAAGCTTGCCATCCTGCTTTTCTTTTTCGGTGGGGTTGAACTTGTTGAAGAGCTATTCAAATTCATGAATCAATCAAGCGTGAGCATTATTATGTGTTCCGAAGTTGCGATGGTAGACAGCGATCAAAAGCTTACCGCGAGAGTAACACCGATTTCGAAGCATCCGACATCAGGTGTCTGGGCGTTAAAGTAGCATCCTGAAAGGAAAAGCAAGGATTTAGTAAGCCTGGGGATTAAATCACCTAGCGCGATCTCTAATTGACTTACCATCGAGGACCTTCACATACTGGACTGTTTCGGGTCGCCCTTTTCGTTGGATATATCTGAATTCAAAGCGGTTTCGGGCAAATCTGCGTCAGTGAAGAAGACGGAAGAAAGATCCCGGGGTGTATCTCACATTTGCTTCCCACAGTTCGACTTTTTGTCACTGAGATAGCGGAGAAGGATTAGTTGCCTGTTCGACTCATCGTGTTGAGGAGATCCCATGCCTACCCGTTCAGCCATCCAGCTGTTTCCGCGGTCGGGTTGTTTTGCTCAGCTCCATTCCAGATGCACACACCAAGGTCGGTGTTCGTGTCGTAAACACGACAGGTCTACAAAACATATCAACGGGTGAGGCCCAGGCAAGATGTGACATAGAAAGGACGGAAACAACATACACCATTGCCTCCGGCAACATAGAAACTCTGATCCAGTCATTCGACAGCAAAAGGACCGAAACAAGCCAGGGACAGATAGACGGAATATTTAAGCTCCTGTGAGAACATCTTTTGGGGTGCGGCAAAACAAGAGACAGACCGGCTGGTTGGTGTTGTACCGTCGCTCCAAGTCAGGAGTTTCGCTACGCTTAGCCATATGGACCCCGGGATTCATGTTGAACTAGACGACAGACGGCGAGAGAAGATTAGAGATGAAGCCTATCTGTGCCGATTAACTAAAGCAGCGATCTACTCACCGCCGTGACTGGTTGAGGGTGTTCTTTTTTCGGAGCCGTGCATCTCTGATCCGCCGCTGCGGCAGAGTGAACACATCCATCCTTCTTCAGGAAGTAATCGTAACACCTCGTGTGAAGTGTGGCCGATACGGCAGAGATTGAGAGCGCAAACAAGATAGCGACCGTGTTAGATTTCATATTTGCTGAGGTTGAGTGGGCAGAAAAGGGTGGCAAGGTGAGGTGTTCCTAAGTCTCGATGGTGGACAAGGGCAATAGATAGTGACTGATTTTATACTATTCCAAGAACCCCACGCTCATCGCTTTCCTTCCCTGCTTAAGCTCCCACAATAAAAAAAATATAGAGCACACATCATAAATCAATTCGATTGCGCATGACAACTTATGACAGCCTGATCACTTGGGCTCCTCCGCATTGATTTGAGGTGACCGACCGATGATTCACTGTACCGGCAGTGCACAGTGCCGAGACTCCCGGTGTCAATGGGCCCTGGAGCGACGTAAAGACATGTGAGAGTCACACGCCGAAATGCTCAGACGGCTACTGCGGAAGGAGCTGCTTTAATGCATCTCATCTGGCAATCAGATGGAAAGCTGTCAGTTGTGGACCACTCTCGTTCGTTCGTGTTGGCTTCTCCAGCAAAATCTCAATGCGACATGCACCAACATGGATATCCGTGGACAACGATAATCTCGCGGCTACGCCGGCATCTTCCCATGAAACGGTTTTGCACGCGGTCCTAAAACAGAACTTGCAGTAGTACCTCAAGCGGCGGCCCGGCCCCACTGCAAAGTGCATCCATGAGACGGTATGCCAACCTATGCCGACAGCTAACTTAAAAAAGTCCCTCCCTCCTACATGACGGAGTGGTGAGACACTGGTCGGATTGCGCCGACTGGACAGAGGGACTTTGATAAGTTAGTGCCAACAGTGGCCGGGTGGAGGTTCGAATACCAGTCCGGTGTATCCAGTACCATTGGGTGCCGGACCGATTAGAAAGATTGTACCATTGGCAACGTGGTATGTAGACTCGATTTGGGCTAGCTTGACACAATTCCAGCCCTAATTTGTTGAGGGTGTGTTTCATGGCCGTAGGCGAACATTGCATGTGCACCGTGGCATGAAGAGACCCACCTTTAAAAAAGCCAGCTACTTGCCCTCCCATCACCCGCCCGCCCACTTCAATCTCATCCCGCCATCCATCAGACGATCAGGTCCTGATTTCAGCTTGTATTCCGCCACCAGAATCAACAAATTTCTGCGAACCCAGCTACCAATCCAACACAATGCACATTTCCATCAACCTTGTGCTGGGGATTATCTTCGCCAATGTATTCTACACGTGCGCCGATCGGGAATGCGCTGCGCGGGGATGTGGAGCTACCTTGGTCCGCCATGACTTCGCCAACGCGAAGTGCAACGTAATGTTCACTTGTAACAACCGGGGCAATCATGGTCAATGTCGACAAGACCTCAGCCATTACCAGCTAGTCTGTCCATATTGGGAGCAGGACAGCAATCACTCTCGGCACATCTATACGGGACGCTGCCCTTACGGTTCGACCAACCACGTGGTCGATCAAGCTTGCGGCGCCTGCAGCCCTCCGGTAGCCAGCACCTCACCCCCTCAGACCTATTACTATTCCGGAGGCCGTTAGTTCATTATTTTCAACTCTTCCGTCAGTGTCAATTGCCGAGGAAGAAGAAACATGATTGGTTACCAAACTATACCCACCTAGCCACTTCAACCATATCGCCCACATGGGTTTGAGTCATTTTATTCATTCATAATAATGTTTATATTTCCACTTCTTGTCATTCAAATGAGGATTTCGATCACTACTCTAGCACCTATTGCCAGCTGATTGGTCACCAGGTTTTCATCGTACATGTGTAGTATTACCGTGCCTTCACTTTTTCCTCTGATAGCATTACCTGATCTAAGCTCATTTTCCATCATGTTGAGAAATACACAGCGGGCTCACTTTTTTGATTCCGCGACATTGGATTTGTCGTGATGGCGGAGATCACATCGGATCAGGTGTCACGACGTCAGAAAGAACGACCGTGCTGTATTCGCGCCTCCTCCAGAGAGGCTTGCCTTTTAAGCGACCTCCTCGGAGGGACTTGAGATAAGTTCGGCACCGGCCGTGGTGTGTATGTACAACCAAGGGTGGTGTCCATTAAACTCTCGATAATTTTGCGGATGTGGATGAACACATAAATCT